TCACCTACATCGTCCATATAGGACGACTCGGGAACTCAACTCCTACCCCGGGCAGCTCACCGATCCCCTTATGCCCAGGGGAAAGGTATCAAGCCGTTTGGCAGCAGATGCTGGCTGTCAAACCGGCTTTTACGCAAAACAGGCGGGAGGCAGCAAACAGCTGCGACCAGCGAAATCGCCTGCCACCGGAAGCCTCAAATCTCATAATTTTTATACTTGCAACTGCTGTCAAGATGCAAGTACAAAATGCTGAGGTTTGCATTGTTATTTTGATTTTCAACATGTTTTTTTTAATGAAACTAGATGGGTCTTATCCAACTTGCAGCTGCCAGCTGTGTGTATTTCAATTCCCAGAATTTTCCCAGAATGAGCATGCTGGTTAACACGTTCTGAAAGTTGAAGTCAACACATTTGAAAGCTGCTCCCAAGTTGGGTAGTCTACTTTATACACCCATTATGCAAATCCCTCAAGGCCTATTATTTGTTTAACCATCCTTGAGGATCACAGCTTATATTATATTGAAGTTTGTTATAGAGTTTTCTAGGGTTTTGGTATGACAGGTGGGCCATCTGTTCAGCAGCGCTAACACTGAAGGAAGAAACATTCAGTATATGATCAGTAGATCAAAATCACCTCTTCCCAAGCTCCTAATAGCCTCATGGAAAGAAAATGCATATAACTACTGCCAAGCAGACCATTATTATTCTATACTACACAGAACTCATTCTGAGATTTGAACATTCCTTTATCTCATCCTCAATTGGTTTTAGATTTACAAGTTACAGAAGAGTCATAAAGAGATTGATTAATTTAATTATGAAGCTCCATAACGAGTAATGCAAAAGGATAGACAGATTTTCTAATACACAAGCCTGTCCAAAAAATTACTTACTGCTCCACAAGTCTCATTATATAAATAAACATAAAACAAATCGTATGGCAGACTAGGAATCTAAAAAAGTGGATCCATTAGAAACAGAAAATGAAAAGTCATTGTATATATGTTTGAATTATTGAAAGAGTTTCTTAAATTAGCTATCAACATCCTCTCAGTAGGTAGGAATCTCTCTCCTAAATAACTGTTACAATCAATAATATTTTCAAAAACATCTGACGACCACAACTGAGCCGAAAATTTTTGTTGCTAAGTGAGACATTTGTTAAGTGAGTTTTGCCCAATTTTACGACTTTTCTTGCCACAGTTGTTAAGTGAATCATTGCAGTTCTTAAGTTAGCTGCTAAATGAATCTGGCTTCCCCGTTGACTTTGCTTGTCAGAAGATCACAAAAGGTGATCACATGGGACACTGCAACTGTTATAAATATGAGTCAGTTGCCAAGCATCTGAATTCTGATCACGCAACCATGGGAATGCTACAAGGGTTGTAAGTGTGAAAAACCATCACAAGTCATTTCTTTCAATGCCATTGTAACTTCAAACCGTCACTAAATGAAAAACGATAACTACCTGTATAAATTCTTTTCAGGAATTAATTAGAACTAAGGTTTAGTAAGCCTCTCAGTTAACCAAAAACCTAGCCAAAAGTTACCCCTTTTCTCATTGGATTTTATACCAATGAGTCAGATGCATTTGAAAATATTATTGATTGTAATAGTGATTTAGGAGAGAGACTCCTACCGAGAGGAGGTTGATAGCCAATTTAAGAAGCTCTTTCAATCATTCAAATATATATACCATGATTTTTTTTGTTTTCTGTAATCAGTTGGAAGTATTCTTTGAATGTATGAAGAATATGGATGAAGATTTGGCCCAATTCATTGAAGTCATGGGAATCAGTGGCTATGAGCCTTGGTGGCAGTGGGAGTGTCTCTAAAGGTCATTGCTGGGGGATTAGCGAGTTTCCTTATACAGTTTATTGGCCACTGGAGGAAGAAATAGCTGGACTAGATGAGTCAGGTGTCTAATCTAATGTGGCACTTCTTAGGTTCTTATATTCTTATGTTTAGTTAAAGATGAGCTTTAGAAAACATTTATAGAATAGAGCTGGAAGGGACCTTGGAGGTCTTCTGGTCCAGCCTCCTGCTCAAGCAGGAGAACTTATACCAGGGGTAGTCAACCTTGGCTCTTTTATGACTCGTGGACTTCAACTCCCAGAATTCCTGAGCCAACTAAGCTGGCTCAGGAATTCTGGGAATTGAAGTCCACGAGTCATAAAAGAGCCAAGGTTGACTACCCCTGACCTATACCATCTCAGACAAGTGACTGTCTAGCCTCTTTTTAAAAAATCTCCAGTGATGGAGTGCCCACGATTTCTGGAGGCAAGCTGTTCCACTTGTTAATTGTCCTCACTGCCAGGAACTTTCTCCTTAATTCCAGGTTGCTTCTCTTTCTGATCAGTTTCCAACCATTGTTTCTTGTCCTGCCCTCTGGTGCTTTGGAGAATAATGTGACCCGCTCTTCTTTGTGGCAGCCCCTCAAATACTGGAATATTGCTATCATGTCTCCCTTATTTCTTCTTTTCTTTAGACTAGCCAAACCCAAGTCCTGCAGCCATTCTTCATATTTATAATCCACTCTTGCTTCATATTATAGGCCAATATATTTCATATTCACGGGGACATGAAATCCATGTAGCTTAGTTCTAGAATTGTTCAATTAAATAGTGATTCTGAGGTCACTATAATATGTTCCTTTGACTTCTGAGCCCAATTTAAAGTATTAGTTATTATTTATAAACTGTACAGCATAGGACCATTGTATCAGTCACAGTTTTGATTCGCATAGTTAACACTATCAGTCTGATTCATCCTGGAAAGGCTGGTAAAAGTCACTTCTTCATTCAAGGTACTTGAGATTTGAAGAAGATAAGTGGTGGAATATGTTTGAATTAGTTTCCCAGAGTAAATTAATTACTCAGCGGGGAAACAGTATTCTTACCTTAAAAGAGTAAAATACCATTCGTTTTGGACTAAATAAACAAATAATTACATTACTAGCAACACGACCCAAGTGATCCTTATGCCACCTAAACATGTTAGAGTTCAACAGTCATAACTGCCAGGCAGCTTGTCAAAAAAATAAGTTGAGATTCAACCTATGTGGAAGCACCAGTTTGGAAACACTGGGATTGACAGCAGGAACTATTGAGAACAAAACTACTGAAAAATTACATAAATGAATGGTTGATATTAAAAAGAATTTACCTTTGTTTTCTCCCTCTCTTCTGCTTCTTGAAGTCCAGAAAGACTTGTGTCTGTTTCACTAAGCCACTGCAAATGACTCTCTGCTTCCATTTCATATAGAGTAAATGAAGGTGGAAGTTCTGACACCTGCCTCCTTTGTAATGACCGAAGCTCCTACAACCCAAAAAGAAAGGTTATACAATTAATAATTAAGGTTATAAGACAGGGGTGAGGAACTATGGTCCTTTTATAACTTGTGGACTTCAACTCCCAGAATTCTTGAGTCAACCATGCTGGCTCAAGAATTCTGGAAGTTGAAGTCCACAAGTCATAAAAGGGCCATAGTTCCCAATCTCTGGTCTAAAAGAAGAACTTTTTCTGTCCCAGACCCTGCCCTTTGGAACATCTTGCCACCAGAGATGAGATCTGCCCCCAGCCTTCTGGCCTTTTGGAAGGGCCTTAAGACCTGGATCTGATGGCTGATTTAGGATCAGGCTCCAATTTGGACATGGTTGGTGCAGTGACATAGAAGACACCATTTCCATTTCGCTCAAGCCTTTTGGTTTTAGTCTATATTTAACTTGTAACTTTTAAGTCATTTTATGTTTAGAATTCTTCTTATATTTATATTTTTATTGCATTATAAGCTGCCCAAGTCACCTAGATAGTAAGATGGATAGCATATAAATTTAATACAGGCAGTCCTCAACTTACAACAGTTCATTTAGTGAATGTTTGAAGTTACAACGGCACTGAAAAAAGATGACTTGTGACCACTTCAGCATCCCCACGGTCATGGGATCAAAATTTGGATGCTTGGCAGTTGGTTCATATTTATGACCTTTGCGGTGTCCCAGGGTCATGTGATCACCTTTTGCAACCTTTTTTTTTTTAACAAAATTTTATTAAGTTTATATAGATGAGGAAAAATAGGAACAATACAGGTATGGTAAAGGGAAGGGTGGAAGGAAAGGGGAAGGGGAGGGGAATAAGGAATTAGGGTAAAATAAGGATAGGTACAATCACATATTTCAACAAACAAGCTACCGTCCGGATCATAATAATGAGCAAATATCATATTCAACCATTTTTACCAAAGCCTAGACTATAACATATTAAAAACAATTAGTAAACAAATACGTTAATCTATTACGTAAACACTACTAATAAAATCTCAAAAAATCCTAACAATCAAAAGTAAGAAATGAAAATCAGTAAATCAGGAGAAATAATCATATCATCAAAATGTTAGTTAGAACTCGATTAAAAATCAGTCATCTATTCTAATATATTGAATCCTTCAAGTTCTAATGTGTCTCTAACCATTGATAAAAAATTTCCCAGGTTCTAAAATAAATTGAATCATCTTTTTCTTTCATTTCTAATATTAGTCTATCCATTTCCGCACACTCTTAAAATTTTAGTAATTATAATCTGGTCAGATGGTAAATTCTCATTTTTCCAAAATTGGACAAATACTATCCTTGCAGCAGTTAAAACATGCAATATCAAATAGTCATTCTCTTTACCATAATCCTGTCTTAATATTCCTAACAAAAACAATTCCGGTTTAAATTCTATCTGTAGTTTCATCATCTTTTCCAACCATCTATGGATCTTAGACCAATATTTCTTAGCGATAGGGCATATCCACCAGGCATGGTAATAAGTGCCTGGCTGTTGTTTACATTTCCAGCAAAGATCCGAAACATTTTTAAACATTTTTGCTAAGCGCACTGGTGTCATATGCCATCTATAAAACATCTTATGTAAATTTTCTTTATACGCTACCGCTTTTGTAAGCTTAATATTTTTATCCCACAGTTTTTGCCAGTCTTCCAAATCTACAGAATGTCCAAAGTTCTTTGCCCATACTATCATTGTTTCTTTCACTTGTTCTTCTTCCATCTTCCAGTTTAAGAGAAATTTATAGAATTTTCTAATCAAATTCTCATCTGTTTTTAATAAAATTTTATCCAATGGGGTCTGTTCTTTGTAAAAACCTGTCGATTTTATATCTTTTTCGTATCTTGTTTGAATTTATCTTTTGCAACCTTCTGACAAGCAAAGTCAATGGGGAAGGCAAATTGACTTAGCAACGGTCCTACTAATTTAACAACTGCAGTGATTCACTTAACAATTGTGGCAAGAAAAGTAGTAAAATGGGGCAAATGTCACTTAACAAAGTTCTCACTTAGCAACATACTGTAAATTTGGGGCTCAATGGTTGTCATAAGTCAAGGACTACCTGTAAATAAATAAATAATGATAGCAGAGAGGAACAGGCAAAAAGGTGGATTATTTATGTCTCGTAGACAAGAGTGAGAATTTTCAGGTGCGTATAAGGCTTCAGGGGGAAGAAATAGAACATTATAGATCTACTGCACAGCAAGGCTACTTTCACTGACCTTTGCATTGCTTTGCTTGGTCTGAAGGAGAAGGAGCTGCAAACGAATTTTTTCTCTCCGGTTATCTTCCATGAACTGCTGTAACAAATGCTCGCCTTTTTGCAGAACTTCCTCAATTTGGGCTCTTTCTTCATCCAGCTACAATTTTAAAAAGGAGGACATATTTTCAGGAATACTTGGGGCAACTAGCTTTTGTTACTCCCAAAGAGTAAGACAGTACAGAGAAACCTGTATAGCATGGTTGTGCGTGTTTAAAAAACGATATCAGGAAAAGTGCTGCAAACCTCACACGAGCACAGCATCTCTCTGCTATTTATTCAAGGAACCGTGCACAAAGCTGAAAAAAAAAAGTTATCAATCCCTTAAAGAAATCACCTTTTTCTGGGTTGGCACAAAAACAGAGAGAGGTGCTCTGTTGCATGAGTTTTGAAGTACTTCCTCAGAATCCTTTCTGAAGAATGTAAAATTCTAATTAATCGTTTTATCCTACATAAAGACTCAGCGGATTCATATTTTGCTGTGAATTCATTAGGAGGTCATTGTAATTACTGACTGTGCAACACAAAAAATGGAAGGACATTTCGATATGGACGAACGCCTACGGAAGCTAATGGAGATGGCAGAGATGGCTAAATTGACTGTTTTGATTAAAGACTATAAATAATTTTGTTTCTACATGGAGACCGTGTCTGGACTTGAAGTGGAACAAAATGAAACTTTGATTTTTGGGTTCTACTGATAGATTGATTTGGTGTTATAGAAGTGGCTAGTAAAAGGTTGAGGTTCGATGTTAATGCTTCATTCTACTGCAACAGAAGAAGTTCAGGAGTCAGTGCCTTTTCTTTTCTTTTTCCCTCCCCACTGTGTCCTACTATTTGCTTTTGTATTTTATTCTATAATCTAATAAAATGTTACAAAACTACTAACTATGCAACATGTAGTTGTGTGCCAAAGTAAAACTGTTTTCAGTGAAGATACCAGGCATTCAGATAATACAGGTGGTCCTCAATTTACAACAGTTCATTTAGTGACTGTTCAAAGTTACAACGGCCCTGAAAAAAGTGCCGCTTTTACAACCTTTCCAGAATCCCCACGATCATATTTATTTATTTATTTATTTATTTATTTATTTATTTATTTATTTATTTATTTATTTATTTATTTAAATTTATATACCGCCCTATCTCCCTTACAGGACTCAGGGCGGTGAACAGGCAATAATAAAAATCACAATAAATATTAAATAAAAAGCCTGCTCTGAAATACCCCATATAACAACCCCTACCAAAACACAAACAAAACTACGCCAGGCCGGCCGCATGGAATAGATGGGTTTTCAAGGCTCGGCGGAAGAGGCGCAGGTCCGTAGTTGTACGTAGGTCGGGGGGTAAGTCATTCCAGAGGGCAGGAGCTGCCACAGAGAAGGCTCTCCCCCTGGGGGTCGCCAGCTGGCATTGACTGGCCGACGGCACCCTAAGGAGGCCCTCTCTGTGGGAGCGGACTGGTCGAAGGGAGATATTTGGTAGGAGGCCATGATCAAAACGCTTGCCAACTGGTTCAAACTTATGATTGTTGCTTTCCATGTGATTTCCTTTTGCAGCCTTCTGACAAGCAAAGTCAATGGGGAACCAAGATTCACTTAACAACCGGGTTACTAACTTATTAACTGCAGCAATTCACTTAACAACTGAGACAAGAAAGGTTTTAAAATGGGGCAAAATTCACTTTAAAAATGTTTCACTTAACAACAAAAATTTGGGGCTCAATTGTGGTCAGAAGTCAAGCTCTACCTGTAATCTAATCCTAATGTTCTGTATCTATATCTCTTTCCTTTGTTGTAGAGGTAAGCAGGGGGTTGGACTCGATGACCTCCAAGGTCCCTTCCAACTTTATTATTATTATTATTATTATTATTATTAACTCTTGCGTATTCTAGCAATGTCCAGGAGGAGCAGCATTGTGGGTCATCTCTTGCACTGCCTATGCTTCAAGTATAATAGATGTAGTACAGAAAGGAGACACATTACAGATTCTCCCAAGGACTTGGAATGGTGAGAAAGTGTTTGAAAAAAGATGAGCTTCCAAATGCATGATTTCAAGTACGACACAACTATACATTTTATCGTAATTAAACAAGACAAATCCCTTGCACATGTAGAATTGAATATATATAAAGTCATCAGGAAGACCACAATGGTGAAACAGCTGATACAAGCAAGATCAATATTTATTGCATGCAGCAAATGAATTACAATGTTGCCAATAGACGTCTAGGTCACAGGATTCCAGATTAAAAAGTGAAGCCTGGGAATTAAAAGAAAGAAAGAAACAAAAAAGAAACAAAAGATAAGGATGAGTATGACAGTTTTGTTTTAACATGAAGTTTTCCAACCTTTTCATCATCTTCTTTTGACTCCATGTGTTTTTCCACTATGGTCAGCATTTCCTTTATCTCACATTCAAATTTATCAAGGTCTTTAGAAGCCACTGAAATTCCACAGAGCTCCTGCTTAGCAAACTTTTTATGAGCGTCCTGACTGAACAGCATCTGACACACACAAAGATAGCAAGCACCCTAATCAGTAGTCAATATATTTGTAAACATATCACATAACTGCAACAATATAGTTGTAAATGAATAAATAGCCTCCCCAAAACTGATACTAAGAAATTATCTTTTGCAGATAGCTTGTAGGCTAGTACAGAAAGAGAATTACATATATTATAACATAAAATGATTCACCCAAACCCCCAGAATATATTACTTCATATGCTTTTGGCAACTGAAAAGAGAAAAAGAGGAAGTTTTGAAGTAACATTTTAAAAATTAAGTAAGTTATCTTCTTTCTTTTTCTTGTTTAAAAAGTACTGTTGAAGAAGTAGAGCTATCTCACTCAAAGTAGGGCAGAACTAATACAAGTAGTCCTTGTTTAGAAACTGCTTCATACAACAAATGTTCACAATTACAACGGTTTTGAAAAAATAACTCGTGTCCAATTCTCGCATTTATGACTTTCACAGGTCTGTAAAGCAAAGGAAAACTGAAGTATTGTACCGTTTCACTTTGAAACTGCTTCACCAAACTACCAACTTGCTTGTCCCAAATGCAGTTGCTAAACAAGGACTACCTGTATTTTGTCCTTGTGCAACCATGTGCACAAAGAGATAATGTCCTAAAAAAAATGCAAAAATGCAATGAAATATTAGAAAACAGTTCCCTTCGACAAAATACAATGCAGTAGCATGCATTTCACAGAAACATTAGAGAAATAAAAATCAGCAATATAAATGTAAAAATAGGCCAGTAGATATGCTTTGGGACCAGGAAGTCTTCCGTACTCACCTTAGCACTTCTGATGTGCTGTGATACTTTTTCAAAGTTCCTATTCAGTTCAGTCAATTTGGGTTCTACAAGCTCATGACATGATACCCCACGACTGTTCATCAGTATAACAGCTTGGTCCCGCACATTATCAACTCTGAGACTAACAGCATCCAATTCTGATGTTAGACGCTATGAATAGGGAAAAAATGGGTTATTATTTAGCTCACAGTAGGATTTAAAAAGGGAGGAAGGGAAACAAGACAGAAATCAACTTGAAAAACTGGCAGACTTTCATTTGGATCCAAAATATGCTGCCGGTATTACTGTCTAAGTCATGTCAGTAAGAAGTTTAATTTTGCTACCTTTACTGTCTCCTCTTTCTTGTTGGCAGGCTTTTTCTCAATCTCATCCAACAGAGCTTCAGCTTGGTACAGCCAAGTGCTTATGTGGGCAACGTTCTCATCAAAAATCTCCAGTTGGCTTTGGTGATTCTATAAAGGAAAGACAAAGATAAATCAATGAAAACATACCTTAAATGTCAATAAAATTTAGCTATTTTAACAGAAAACATTCACAGCAGTCGGTCAATGGCATTTTCATTCGGTTTTTTTTTCAGCTCTTTTAGTGCCAAGACCTAAAAATTATTTGGTATTTATTTATTATAATTTTAGTCACTAGATTTATATCTTATCTTTTCTCACAAAGATCAAAATGACATATAGACTTCCTTCCAGATAATTTTCTTACAACAAAAGTTCTAACATCGCACACACACATGCACGCATATGTGTGCGCACAAAGAGATAGAGATAGAGATATATGGAAAGAGGGAGAGAGGGATAGATGATAGAGAGAGAGAGAGAGATGGGGAAAGAGAGAGAGAGAGAAATGGGGAGAGAGAGAGAGAGAGATGGAAAGAGAGAGAAAAAGAGAGTGAGAGAGATTGTTGCCACATATCGCATTTAGGGCCCTTCGTAACCAACTTGCATTTAAGGCTATTTGTAGCATCCTGCAGTCACGTGATCGTAATTTTTGGCATTTTTTGCCAACTTCCGGCATTTACCTCCAGTTTCTGGCAAAACACCCATTGAAAAAATGGATTCACTTAACAACTCCTGCTTTTGCTTTAATGATTGCTACAAAAAAAGTTGTAAAACTGGGCACAGTCACTTGGTGACCCTTGACAACCGCCAATTCCAGGCCCAATTATGGTCATAAACTAAGGGTTACCTGTAAGATAAAGGCAATGAAATGGGAGACACATTCAGGGCTGCAAGACAGATGGAAGTCCTTCAAGGTAGAACAAACTTGAACACCTAACTCATGAATACTAAAAATACTTTGATTATAGGTTTACAGTTATAAAACCTTGCTTCCCTGAATGTTCCTCTCTTCTCCCTGTCCTGAACTATGGACAGCCAAGCCTGAAACGCTTTCTCAAATTCCATTCTAGCTCTGGGCTCAGATATAATAATAATAATAATAATAATAATAATAATAATAATAATAATAATAATAATAATAATAGTGATGATGATATGATGATAATAATAATAATAATAATAATAATAATAATAATAATAATAATAATAATAATAATAAAGTTGGAAGGGACCCTAGAGGTCATCTAGTCCAACCCCCTGCTCAGGCAGGAAACCCTATACCATTTCAGACAAATGGCTGTCCAGTCTCTTCTTAAAAACTTCCAGTGTTGGAGCATTCAACACTTCTGGAGGCAGGTTGTTCCACTGGTTAATTGCTCTAACTGACAGGAAGTTTCTCCTTAGTTCTAGGTTGCTTCTCTCCTTGATTAGTTTCTATCCATTGCTTCTTGTCCTGCCTTCAAGTGCTTTGGAAAATAGCTTCACTCCCTCTTCTTTGTGGCAACCCCTGAGATACTGGAACACTGCTATCATGTCCCCCTCTTGTCCTTCTCTTCATTAAACTAGACATATCCAATTCCAGCAGCCGTTCCTTATATGCTTTAGCCTCCAGTCCCCTAATCATCTTTGTTGCTCTTCTCTGTACTCTTTCTAGAGCAGCGGTTCTCAACCTCTGGGTTGCGACCCCATTTGGGGTCGATCGACCATTTCACGGGGGTCGCCAAGCAAGGCTGTCCGCCATTTTTTTTCCCTTTTTCGGCGGGTGCCTTACCTCCCTTGAGCTGGGCCAGCTGGTGGTCGGCTTGCTCCGTCTCTGCCGCTTGCCAGCTACGCCTCAGCCTGCGCAGGGGGCGGAACCACGCATGCGCGGCGCTCCCGGACAGGGAAAGTCCTCGACGTACGACCGGTTTAGTCCTCGACTTACGACCGGTTTAGTCCTCGACTTACGACCGGTTGGGGGGTTGCGGCATTAAAAAGGTTGAGAACCACTGTTCTAGAGTCTCAACATCTTTTTTACATCATGGTGACCATCATGGATGCAGTATTCCAAGTGTAGTCTTACCAAGGCATTGTAAAGTGGTATTAATACTTCATGTGATTTCTCTTATTTGACCACTGCCTTGGCTGCAGCTCTTCATCCTCTTCTTCAAGATTATTCTCAGAGCCCATTACATCCATTTCTGTTTTTTATTATGAATAATGATTGCACAGATAATGGGTGCAGTTTGTTTAAATAAACCTCAAAGAATATTTCCATGAGTCCTCTTATGTAATAATTATTTTTAAAGCATTTATTCTTGAGCTAAAGCTTCAAAGAAAAGATTTTGATACTTCCTGAGCATGCAGTAAGAAGCAAATCTATCAAATTGTTCAATACATTTTACTATTTCTTGAAAAACTGTTCATCGTCTGATTCATTTTTCCATTTAACAGGTCAGCCTTCCCCAACTAAATACTCCCCAGAGATATCGTCCTAGCTGGCCTGGCCATGGGACTTTCAAATTTAACATATCTTGGAGGCAATTGAGTAAGACCGTTCTCTCCTGATAGGAAATTTGACATTTGTAAACACTTCCTACTTGAAGAGTAAGAAGACCACCATCAATGCTTATGACCCTATCAAAAGCCATACAGATAATTAATTCTACAAATGTCAAAATTTGCCGTTTGCAGTTTCAGCTTACCAGAAGTGTATTGCACCAATCTTCGGTCCAGGTTCGGACTCTGCTCCATCCAGCATTAAGGACACAGAGTTTTTCCTCCAGAGGAGCTTCACTTCCGTCCACTAAGGCCTGCAGTGCAGCACTGCTCTCTGTTACACTGTTCAGATCGACTTTCTTCCTCTCCAATTCTCTCAGCACATTCTGGAAGGCATCAAGGACCATTAACAGAACAGAATAAAATTTCTCAAGGTGACAGAACCAAAAATTTTATTATTGGTTTGGTTTCTATCTTGATCGATTTAGCTAACGACTGACATATCACTGCAATGAGCAATCTGATATACCGTATGATACCTAAAGCGATCTTCTAAAATTCAGAGTATCTTAGTAGTCACAGAATAGAAAATTTTCAAAGAAATGTTAGCCTCAGTAACTGGTAAGGTTGTGCTTTAAATGCACCATTCTTTGTTTTAATTACATTCTGTAACTGATTTTGCAAAATCTATTATGACATGCCAAATTGATGCAAATTGCAGTTATTACGCAATCGGATAATAAAGTATATCTTTTTCACAAAGTTTCTTTTGCAAATTTGGGGAACTACATATCTTTCAAGGGGAAACATTAAGATTGCTTTTGGGGGAATATATATTTTTCATAAATTGGAAAAATGATTTTTAATATTTTTGCTATACCTGTTTACTAATAAATCAGTCTCACTTTCTTAAATTGTTCTTATTTTAACAGAAAGATTTACGCAATGAGTAAGCTAATGCAATAGTAAACTACAACTTTAGCTTGACAAATCTTTTGCTCATATAGATTTTCACTTCCCCCTCTGCTATTTACTGCAATTGAAATTCTAGACCTAGTTAACAGTAAATAAATGTCCAGCAAATTATGATTTGAAACTATCACTTTCCTATAAACCAAGATCACGCTACAACCTAAACCCTGTTTTGAAGAGCAAGTAAGTATTCCATAGAATATAATTTCTGTCATGCCAATTTTAAAAAAAAGGAATAATTACACAAATCTGGCATTCAAAAATGTTTAATAATATCAAATCTCTCTTTAATTCTAGAATTTTTTTCAAGAATCTCCAAGCTTTTTCTCACAGGCATATTTTTTATGGTAGAATATATGCTTTTCCTCATGATACAATTCTCTTTATAGGAATAACATGCAGAATGATTCCTACAATTTCCTATTTCAGTGGGAAGCCACTCGGTGCCCCTTTTCACTCTGGATTATACCTCTAGTAATTAATGCATGTTCTTTGTTCTGAAGAAATAATACACCGAAATTATATTGTTTTGTTTTCAACATTAGTCCCAGGCGCACAAACCTCCTCCTAGCAGGCTAATGACATTTTGCACTCAATTAGTCAAAGAACTGACGAACCATGACATTTTTAAAATAGCAATCAATAATTAAAACAAGTAATTACATTCAAAAAGCCAACAGCTGCATTACATTAATAGAAAAAAGAACTAAGTTCAGAGCATTGGATCTGTTAAATTTTTAATTCTGTTGGGTTGAAATAGTAAAGTTTTAAAATATGTACAAATGGCAAACAAATGAGATAAGTCTCTCAAGTTGAGTTCAACATTTAATGACCTCTTCTAAAATCTTAATATAATGAATACACAATGAGCAGCATGCATATTACAGAATTGCTTTTTTAAAAAGGAATTCTGAGGCATACAATAGTGTCAGGAAAAAAATGTCCCTATAACAGGAAAGGACAGGAGAGGAGACTAAATTTCTTTCAGGAAGTCTGGAATTCCTTGTGGTACTCTATATTGCATGCAATATAGAATACACTTTCAAATAGATTCCCCCATAAAACCAGAAGGAAAATCCAGGGAGATTCACCCAGATTTGAAATCACTGAATGCACTATCACCTGCTGGATTCAAATATTTATTAAATAAATATTTAAGCTAGGCTCCAGGTTAAAAATTTTGGTTTTTAACCTGCTTCCAAGGCAAAGCAGAAAGTACATTTTTGTTCAACATTAAGAACTATAACAAGTATCAGAATGAGATGCAAACAAAGAAGGTTGAGAACAGGCTGCTTACCTTAGCCCAAGCAATTTCAGTGTCCAGATCAGAAAGCAAACGTTCTGAAGTGGACTTGTGCACCAGTTCAGCTTCTGTCACCTCTAACCATTTGGATAAGGAGAGGGAGACTTCACTGAATTTGCACGAGAGTTGCAATGCCTGTTCCAGATCTTGTTTGCCTTCTGTCACCTGTTTTTTTTAAAAAAAGCATGTAAAAAAGCAAGCATCAAGAACAAAGAATTAAGAAAACTTATTTGATCAACATTATGTGTGGTCACACAGTGAGCAGATGTTTAGATGGGATCTGGCATTTTTATTTACTTATCAAGTCCTTCCTAAGGACCTGGCATGGGCAGATGTTGGTGTTTAATGATGTTAAAGATATCTTCATAGGATGTAAGCTGTTCCAAATAAAGCTGTTTTTTGCAGCTGACTGATGGTGATTTTGTCAATACTAAAGGTTTTCAAGCAGTGTTACACATTTCTGGAATTGCACTCAAAGCACCTATACATTTAGTATTATTCCACAACCTCTATTTTGGCTATGGTTACTTGCCTCTAAAAAGAATTTGTCCTCATCAGTCAACTACATCTATGAAGGAAAATGGATAAGGAAAAGGCATTCAATGACAATTCTACAAGATAGATGGACTCATGAAGGAAAAAGTGATCTGTCAAGAAACCATCTCTTAGATCATTTATTTTATTTCCCCAAAATATGTGTATGTTGCTTTTTACATTTTTTATCAAATCTCAAAACAGAGTGGAGTTACTCTAGATAAGCCTGCACTACATTTCTCATCAACCACAACTACTGGATAATAGTATTGATGTGGAAAGTCATGTATTCCGATCTCCGATTTAAAACATTATAGATTCTCATTTCAGATTTAATTGGTGAATAGTAAATCGGGTTCACATAATATTTAATTAAATGCTTGAAATTTACCTCAAATGGATTTCACATAGTGAAACAAAACTGTACATATGAAAGACTAACCTGCGCTCCCAAATCATTGTAAAGGAATTTCAGTGCTGTCAGTTGTTCATCCATGCTTTTGGGGTTGTCTGTCTGTTGTTTCTGTACAATCTGCCTTCCTGTTTTGATCACTGTCTCCACTTCAAGCTTTACTTCACTCAGGGTCTTATAGAGTTTCTAGAACCAGGGCACCATATAATTTTATTATATTATATTAAAATATATTATAATATTTCAAGTTACTCATTTAATTTTACTTTTCAATAACTAGCGGAATTTAACCACATTATCATCTTTATGCACATTCCGTTGTGTCCAGTTTGCTACAATAAGGAAAAATATTAACTATAACTAGATTCAAATTAGTCAGTAGCCCATTTTGAGCAACGGTTTCTATTTAGAAAATAAATTACAAAAATGCCCCCAACATCATAGCAAATAGAAATTAACATGAAGAATGAATGGAAGATAGTATGGCAGCTTAGAGCAAAAAAGAAGAGGAAAGAGGGAAAATAATGCCCAAGTTTCCAGCATGTTCAAAGTCTGGTAATGATGTCTGAATACAGCCCAAGTGCAATGAAATAACTCCACAATTAAAAAAAATGCACTGCTTTGTTCACATTGTTAACACTTTGCTCATTTTTTTTCTGACTTAGACTGACCACACTTTAATGGGAGATTCCATATTTGCAGTACAAATGTTTTAGATGAGGGAATAGAAGGGGAACTCATCAAAGTTGCAGATGACACCAAGCTGGCAAAAATAGCCAACAACCCAGAAGATAGGATGAAGATCCAGATGGATTTCAACAGATTTTAACACTGGGCCCTATCTAACAAAATGAAATTCAGTGAAGAGAAAGGTAAGGTTTTACACTTAGACGAGAAAAACCAAATATACAGGTACAGATCAGTGAAACTTAGCTCAATAGCAATAACTGAGAGAAGGATCTTGTAGTCCTTGTGGACAATCACTTAAATTTGAGCCAGTAATGTGCTACAGCGGCCAAAAAACCAGTGCAATCCTAGGCTGCATTACCAGAAGGACAGAATCAATATCATGTGAAATGTTAATACTGCACTATAAGGCCTTGATAAGACCACACTTAGAATACTGCATCCAATTTTGGTCACCACAATATAAAAAATATTCTGGAAAGAGTGCAGAGAAGAGCAACAAAGATTATTAGGAAGCTGGAGGCTAAAACATATGAACAACGGTTGCAGGAATTGGGTATATCTAGTCTAGTGAAAAGAAGATCTAGTAACATATATCAGTGTCCCAATATTTGAGGAGCTGCCACAAAGAAGAGGGGGTCAACTTATTCTCCAAAGCACAAGAAGGCAAGACAAGAAGCAATTGGTGGAAACTAACCAAGGAGAGAAGCAACCTAGAAATTTCCTGACATGAGAACAGCTTGCCTTCAGACGTTGTGGGTGCTCCATCATTGGAGCCTTTTAAAAAGAGACTGGACAGCCATTTGTCTGAAGTTGTATAAGGTCTCCTGCTCGAGCAGGGGTTTGGACTAAAATACCTCCAAGATCCCTTTCAACTATAATATTGTATTATTCTGTTTCCAGACAGGTCTGGAAAAAAAATCATGCCTAAAATCTTGGCTAAATAGACAATGAATGTGTTAGTCTTTTATACTGATGAGACTATAGCAAATGGGTCTCCAGGTGCTATTAAATTGGAGAACAAAATCATGCTCTTAGAACATATACTACTCTGATAATATGAGTGAAAACCATATTCTTTGATTTTTTTTATCTCAATGCACAAAATCATTGAGTCATTCATTCATGTTTTCTACCACTACTACAAAAGTCGATTGCTGGGCTACTGGAAAGTTCACTGCCATGGAGTAAAAAAGCAAATAAAAGTTTCACAGAGAGAAATTAAGAAAATTTAGTCATAGCATTATATTACCATGCACTTATCAAAGTGAAACTGAATGATATCCGGATCAATATCCTTCACATCCAAGATATGGAGTTCAACTTTTACACTATCCAGAACTCGTTTACAATCCAGCATACGCTGCTCAAAATTTGCTGGTTTCTGGAAGAGCTGGAACTTCGTGGATACCTCCCGGAGCTTTCTCTGTTTATATAAGAAAGCAAACATTTGATACATTCACACACTTAGAATGAAAAATCTTTCTACCAACTGTTCTTATTTATAAATTATATCTTACTCTTCTAGTCCATCATTTCTCTCTCTTTTATGTCATTATGGATTTCCTCCCCTTGTAACCATATTTCCCGGCATTATGCCTCTTCTCTAACTTATAAAATAATTTATCTCTAAATCCAAGACCTTCTGTTTTTCACTTAAACATGAGAAACTCAACTCCTCAAAAACAAGATTAAAAAAACCCCATCAAGAAGTTTTGTCTAGGCCTGTGTTTGGGGACTTTCAAAGGTACAGTGTGTACTCCGTTTCCAAATCTTCTTCACTTCTGTCAGCCCCAAAGCACAAAAACAGGCATGGAACACCATGAACTAATCAGTTCTCCCTCTAGCTACCTAATCAGAGAATTCACAAAATGGGACTTAAGCACCATCTCGTGTCCTGAATTTATAATACTTCCCAGAATATCAAAAATCTTCTTGCTTGAATGCATTCCTCATCTCTAATTAGTACTGCCTTTTTTCCCCCCTCTTTTACCTTTCAAAATCAATGCTATCAAGTTTGCCACTTAGTTCTTCATCAACTCCAAACACAACCCTTCTATCCTGGTTTCTATTTCCTATGGTCCACTGAATCTTTCTCACAAAACCAAATTGTTCTCCCTATTGCGAAAATATAAATGCCTCTGTCTAGACTTCACTCATCACAATCTCTGTTTTGAAACAACTGCTTTCCCTTTCCTTCTCTTTAGGGGATTTATTTGACACCTATACTTAGTTTTCATTAGTAGTGACTGTTTAGTGAAACAGTGCTTCAGGTTAGCCAGTCTTAGTAGCATCTTGTCTTCAAACATTTTCTCTACCTATTTGCAATGCTAATATCCATCCTGTTCAACAGATATAGATTCTTTCAAGTCCTCTATCTTTGTCTGTCTTTCTCTGTGTGTACCTCTGTTTCTGTATGTCTGTTTCTATCTGTCTGTCTCTCTCTTTCTCTCTTCTCATATAAAGGTATTGGGAAAAGGATGCTAATGATTATTAAAATGATTAACAATTGCCCAAGGATCTAAGAAAAGTGTATTGTAGCATTTTTTTCACAATTAGGAACTTTCAGAAGTATGTAAAAGTATTATCCTACTTTTACAAATATATGCCTATGAGAGTCGAAAAGGGGAAAGGTTGGAGAAAATGAAACTGAAAAAAGAACAGAAGTGACAAATAAATTAAACTTTATGTTGTTGTTGTTAATTGCGAAGTCGTGTTCTACCCATCGCGACCCCATGGACAACGTTCCTCCAGATCTTCCTGTCCTCTTTATAGTATGTATACTTTATAGTATGTAAAATTATCACAATTTCAACTGAAAACACGGCATTTGAAAGGAACACAACAATCCCGGGAACACTGGGAAACTAATTAGCAAAAACTAATTTTTAATTATGTCTTAGTGCTTGATCTCAATGATTACCTGCAAGACATCCAAATGAGTCCCACCACGGGAAGATCGGCATTCTGGTGAAGGTGGCATTAAAGAATAGACATTCTTTCTAAGCTCTTCCAAGGTGGACTCAAGGGCAGCAATCTCAGCCTGGATTTTCTGCCATTCGTTATAGAAAACGGGGAAGAGAGGACATAGCAGATATCAATCTGACTACCCAATAAATCATACTACTAAAATGTATTATTATAAAGACTATAATATCCACGTGCTGATTTCAGTGATAAACTGCTTATTTCAAAATCAAAAGATTACCGAAATTACTGATTTTGTAGTGTAAGACACCATCAGCATTTCTTCTTAGAGCATGTATCCCCTTAATTATCCTACAACTCAAAAACCATATTACAAAAGGGTTTTTTAAAAAATACATACATACATACATACATACATACATACATACATACATACATACATACATACATACATACATACCTGTGCCTCTTGAGGCATTTGGAAGGCATCTATTCTATTGGTCAAATAGGATGTTAGCTGCCTATCCAAATCCTTCAAGCTTTCCTGAAGAACTTGCAACATGTGCTCAGTTTCCCGCATCATTTGAAGTTGTTGCTCCAAAGAAATCTGCTTACTGACTGCCTAAGGGGAGACAAAGGAATATGTTGCATGAAAACTTTAGAACTTGTTGTATATAAACCTAAACATAAATACAAAAATAGTAAATCAGAACTGCTTACACTATGCTGTTATTTTCTGACTGTCAACAGTGCAATGAAATATTACTTTCTTATGGTTAAGGGATACCTGCTGAAAGGAACATAATTCAGAGATTCCTAGCATGGCAACTTAAATTAGAAGCACTGACTTTAGCATTCAGTTTTGTTGTCAAAACCTATGGAAGTTTCCAGAGGACATATTAATAACCATTGAAATCAGGATGGGATCCATCAATCCTCACAGACAACAATTTCCAAACGACTATCAATTCAGCTCTTTGTGCTTTTCAAGATCCTCTGTCCTGTATTTTTCAAAGCCAAAAAGTTGCTTTCTTTCCAAGGCAGCAGATAAACTTTTAAAACCACTATGGCTTTACTCCATATGAATCGTATAAATCTGCTCATCATGCTTCAAATCTTTTTAAAATATAAAATCAGACTTTCAGTCATTTTACACATTTTTGTGGGATAGGTCTTTTTTGGTAGAGACCATTTACCTGTTCTGTCCCCGTCTGACACACACACCCAAACAGCCAGCCGAGGGTTAAATAACTTCTCCACACTCCACGCCACAGATAAGAAAACTTGGCAGCAGCTCCGTAGCTGCCTGCCAAGACTTTTACTCAGAGAACAAAAAACAATACACACAGTTTGCAATTAAGTCCACAGCAAACTACTTCGCCAGAGATTTAGCTTTGTCCGTCACAGAGTCCAAATGGCCACCACCTCCCTTTTATAGCCTGTGGGGTGTGGTCCAGTGACTCAGTTTAATCTCTGGCACGTCTCCTTTTCTGCTGCACACGCTTGTCGCGCCTACGCTGGCGTGGATCCAGCCACAACGTATCTTCATCACTATCCGAAACACCTGGCTCCTGGCTAATCTCAGAAACACCTGGCTCCTGGTCAATCTCTTCTCCTTCGGGAGACACCTGAGGCATTGCCAAAGAGGAGGGTCCTGGAGAGGGAGGCCTGGCCATCTCCTCTCCTTCATGTTCGGAGCCTTCTTCCTCCGATTAGAGGGGCTCACAAGACGGAGCCACAACATTACCTTGGTTATAGCTATCATTATTATCATTTGTTTGAGGAATGTAGCCCCATGATGTGGCATCATAATTTTGCTTCTCGCCTGTACAAAATATAGGATGCACTAAGCTTTAATCTGGATCTGTTCACTTTCAATTAAGAATTCACTCAGCCATCCAGTTTACAGTGTAGGTCCTGCGGTTGTCCAACTTCTGACAGACCATAATACAAGATATAGGTAGTGTTGGCATAATTATGCACATCTGATCTTAAATATTGGGCAGCTCTTATTTCTATAAGCTAGTGAAGAGCACCTTTAAGCTTCATTCAAAACTGTATATTGTGGATGCTGACAGTAGTAAAAACAAATGTTTCATGTCATCAAAGTTACATATCATACCATATGACTTAATTCCTCATAACGGGCATTGAAAACTTCCAACTTTTCACTGATGATTTCATCAAGAATACCTCCATCTATCAATGTTTGACCAAGCTCCCGAATTTGAGTCCGATTATCAGCTGGATGACGCAGAATGGATTCCAGTGACTGAGAAAATAATTAAACCAAAATGTAGGCACTTGTTTTCTAACATACTGAACTCAGCACTCTGACATTTTAAAATTGGAAAAAAAATATCATTCAGAAAAAGCATTTATTTACAGTGTCTGAGGACTTACATTACCATTAAGAGAACAATGAAACATATGGCATTTATCACCCTAAAATAGTTATGGAAATTACAGACAAATAAATCAAAATAGTGGAACCCATAAAAACAACTCAAAAACTCTACCAAAACAAAAAGAGCAAGAGGAAATAAAATCAGCAAATGACAGCAGAATCACTGCAATGTAAACCCAAACCTGAAAGTAGATGGGAAAAAAAATTAGGTGTTTTTTTTTAATGCTTTCAGACAATAAAAAAGAAGGAAGAAAGCATCACCAATGGGAAAGCATTCTACAGGAGAATGCGTAACGATGGAAGCAGACATACATAGGGCCTCTTCTGGTTAGGGTTACCAGTACTAGGCTGCGAAAATCCAGGGGACCATTAGATGGCAGCACAAAGAATTTTATGTACCTCTTTGCTGCCATCTAGCAGTCATCTAAACTTGGGCATTCCCAATCTCATATTTCTGCCTGAGTTGATCATGATAAATATGGTGGGTCAAAAAACAAATGCAGTCTGAAATTTCCTCCACATGGAACATTTAAGAATAACTGTCGCTCTGAAGTAACTACAGAAATATACTAGGAATTCCTTCAGTTAACTGTGGACAATAAACAGTTGACTGGCTAATGTATTCTAGTTATAGTTTCTGAAGCATATTCAAAGAGAGTTCTATGTAGAACATATTGCATAAATGCCAGTGAAGTACTATATGAATAACAGCAGTCATGAGTTTATTTTATACATATTAATGCACCAATCAAATTAAGTTAAAAGAATCCGAAGTAGTCAACATAATTGCCAAGTTGTAAAGTGTCCTTAGAAAAACAAAGACAAAAGATACTGTATTATTAAATTTGTTTTTTTAAAAAATCATGTGTTTCACTATCACATTTCAAAGAACAAAGAAAATAGTTAGCAGAACAAAAGTTGGAATATACTGGAAGATCATAATGTGTTTATATAGCAGACCAATAAAAGTTTCTGGGTCGTCTTTGTTGTTAACAACACCGCAGCCAAAAATACCAATGTTTCAAAATATGTTTAGACACCTAGAAGTGTCCACTAGCTGTGGGAGGGTAAAAAAATAAAAATAAAAGATGGCAGGCACAAAACACACATTCAAAAAAGAGGGAAATCTACACAGAGATGCTGCATCTGATATTTTGCCCTGTTTTGATCTTTGATGATACCACTGCAGACACACCCATTTCTTTTAGCTCAAATAAATAAGATTTTTTTCATGTGGGCATCATTGATGCATTTTGAAATAAAGCAACCAAAAAATTCCTTTCAACACATCTGTCCACTTCTAGAATTAGTTAAATATTATGATAAATGAGGAATTTTCACTGAATTTAAATATAGGAGGAAAAACATCTTCAGTTAAAAAAACCTAAGCTTATTTGCATAAATTACTTTTACAGACTATCCTTTGTACCTCAAGGGCTTCACTGACAGCATCTATTTTCTCTGGCAAGTGTTCAGTTGTTTTCATCTTCTCTTCTAAAGTATTCAACCAGGCTGCTTCTAGGTCCAGATAGTGTAGCAGTTCAATCCAACAAGACCATACTTCCTGAAGGTAAAGAATATATGAAAAAAGAAAAACTCATTCCATTTCAGAGGCCGGTTCCTCTCAGTCGTGTGATACATTTATTTCTCAAGCTTTATGTAGATTTTCCTGAGTATATTGTTCATCAACAGCAATGATTTCTAGATAATTCACAAGTTATTGCCTAACAACGAGACAGATACTTTCAATTCACTCAGCCTCAAGGTTCTCACTTGCTCAACTCACTTAGTAATCTCCCATGCCAATTCCAGATGTTTGCACTATATACAATAACAAAACAAACGGATGGTATATTACAATGGGGATAACTTGGATGCTGCATGAAATAAATACATTTGGAGACAATAGCCAGTAATAATTTCCTAACTTAAGAGGCAAAAATGTATCTTGCCAATTCTATACTTCTTTATTTACCTGGATCATTAACATAGAATTTTCTAATTTGCCATCTTAAACATGACCCAAAATTGGTTTGGATCACATTCCAAAGTTCGTTCCAAAGCTACTGTAGTAATGTAATGCCCAATGTGGCTAAAATAGAGTTTGAGAACTTGACTTTCTCCTGATTTGCAGGTACAAAGAATTAAATAAGGGACCTGACTGCACAGTTGCTAATTCACATTGCTGTCAAAAGTATTATAGGAAATATAGGAATGTGTGTAGAAGTTAAATATACCTGAAATGTTTATTAGGCAATACATAATTCAGAAATAATCACTATATTGATAGAGTCTTAATATATGCATTCCGTTAGCTATATATTTCTCACCCATATATCCCTGGCTTTTTATTGACATTTTAAAATCAACAAAAAAAAACAGTGCACTCCCACTAATTTTGGAGCCACTGTTTGAACTTACTTTACTTGTATATGGAATGGTTTCTAACTAATGGGCAGTAACTACAATCCTTCATTATCTAAACAGGGCTGTTAGTGTGTGTGTGAGGCTTAAAGTCAGTGCTGACTCCTGGAAAGTGCCTACAGTTTTCTTGGCAAAATTTCACAAGTAGTTTGCACTTGCCTTCTTCCTAGGACTGAGAGCAAGTGACTGGCTCAAGGTCACCCAGCTGGCATCGTGCCTAAGGCAGGACTAAAACTGACAAGTCTCCTGGTTTCTAGCCTGGAGCCTTAAGCACTATACCAACTGGCTCTCTAGGGAGCTTTAAAATATCTAGAATTAAATATATAATAAAAGAGTTTTGAGTTTGTTCATTAAATGAGTTGCTGGTCCAACAACACCCCAATACCCAACTTTTAAATATACAGCAAAAACCATTGGCGTGATTTTTTTTTTAACTCTGGGAGTATAAACTTATGTCTTAAACCCTCCCATTGGTGTTAAGGAGCTTGGGCCATATCCAGAGGATCTAGTTCACGACTCGGCGGAAAATCAGGCGGCGGCTTGGGAAGCAGCCGCTGCCGCGGCACTGGACCGAGTCGTGCCTTTGCGGCCTCTGACCCGGCGTAGATCTCAACTGGCTCCTTGGTTTACGGAGGAGCTGAGAGAAATGAAATGCCGGAAAAGACGCCTAGAGAGCAGTTGGAGGGCTAGCCGAACCGAATCCGACCGAGCACAGGTAAGGGTACATGTTAGATCCTACCTTGTGGCGATGAGGGTGGCGAGGTCTAATTACTATTCCACCCTCATTGCGTCATCAGATAACCGCCCGGCCTCCCTCTTCAGGGTGACCCGCTCTCTCCTTCAATTGAGGGGGGGGGATCCCCTGGAGGGGAGGGCCGAGGACTTTGCGCAATATCTGCATGACAAAGTCGCTCGGATCCGAGAAGGCCTGGACTCTGACTGGGTGGCCCCGGGGGAGGATACGGGAACAGGTCTTGAGACTGTTGTATGGGAGGAGTTTGACTCTGTGGCTCCCGAGGACGTGGACAGGATC